TCCTGCCTCAACTTAGGGTTTCTGCTTCAGTCACAAACCTGTCTCAGCCCTCCTCCTATTCCCTGCTTTACCTCTGACTCTGACATGATCTTTGATTTCCTAATGTAGCTTCTCCAGCTCAGTCTGCTTCATCAGCACTGACCTTCTTCACTGCAAGGCCACGTGCTAAACATGAGGCCGACGGGCCCATGTCCTGGTCACAGGAGTGGTCTTGTGTCTGCTGAGTTTGACCAAGGGGTATGGTCAGGGGAAAAGTGACATGAAGGTCAGACAGACATTGTCTGTCTGAATAGAGACAATGATGTTGCCGTCAATGAAATTAATCTTTTTTTTTGTTACGTGTTTTAATTTAGTACTTTCATGTAGCATTTGTTTATCTGAGAGGGATATGAACAGCCATTTGGAAGAGGCAGCATTATTGCAGCTTAGCAAGTCAGCTATCTGCATATATGAATTCTATGTGATGATTCTATGTGATTCAACTATGAATTCAAATGTGATGATGGTTTAAAAGTAATGAATATTACTTAACAAATACAGTGCTGAAGATTCAATTGCCAAGGCTCATCCAATGAACTGAGGCAACAGTTCAGTGCGTTTATCTCCTCAGTACTCAATACCGTTAGGTTCTCTGCCTGCTTCCCACTTGGCTCATACACGATGCATTAAGCCAGGAAACTTCCATAACTAATGATGTGAGTTGCAAGAGCTTGTACTAATAAACAGAAAGTAGAAATTCAGAGGTTGCAATGACTCATTTCCTCTGTGGATTAATATGGCCAGGGGACATATAACAGACATCCACTGGAGGGCTGTGTATGTATTCAGGCATAGGTTACTGTCTGTCCCATCTTTGTCAATTAATATGAACTTAACAATACTGGTCAAGTATATTAACTTTCTCATCTCCTGTTTATTTAGATTGTAAGTGCTTTGGTCCAGGGAAAGTCTCTCGTCTCCAGTTAAGGCTGTTTGCAACAGACTGTTTGTCAGCTGGATTTCCAGATGACATTGCCATATGACATCATAAAGTGATGATTACCAGTGACTGATGGGATGATTCCTGCTCCATATATGCAACTATATGAAAATGTATGCACTGCCATACAGAAAATGAATAACGCCTGTCCATGTTCTGATAAAGAGTGCACCTGGACTTCAGGTGGGATTTAGTGTGGCACCATTTTAGGGTTTTGCAGGAATTTAATTAGGGCCCAGGGAAGACTGTGGAAACATCAACCAATCCTTGTGCTTGGAGCCCATTTAGACCTCTCCAGATACTTCAATGGCACACGGCAGAGTCTGCCAGAGACGTCAGTGGAACCTATCACAGCTCTTCAGCTTCGTAGCTGGAGTTGGAATGAATGGGAAACAGCTGAAATGCGAGCATGCTATGTAAAAATATGCTTTGAGGTCTTCCGTAGCTATAAAACAAGTATCTTCACTACTGTAAGAACAGTAATCCTTGATAATTTGGGTGTGTTGCCACCTCTAGTGGCAACACCACTAAAACATTTTAGTAATGATACTGGCTTTGTATTTCTTCCTTATTTAGTTCATAACAGACTGCTAACTATGTACAGATGAATTCTGAATGGTGGAATCAAACTAATCAAACTAATGCCTCCAATAGTTTAACCATGTCCCTGTTAAAGTTGGCAAATCTGGGCAGGACATATTGCAGCCTGCATTCTGATCACGTTTGGAGAGCTGATGTTTCTGCTTCTCTTCTGACCCTTCTCTCATCCCGTGGGAGGTAGGTAGCTGATGTGAACACCTGGAGACCCGGATCCAGACGTATTTATTCATGAGAGGACTATTTTTCTTGTAGCTCATCCTTTTGGAAATTGTGATAAGATCACACACGTTTACATAATGAAACATAACACTATTGTAAAAAGATGCTTTAAAAAGATAATGTAAGTAATAAATAGAACTGACATTCTAGGTAGCACGTAATTTGAAGAAGGATTTACATGTGGCTGGCATGTATGAAAATAATATCTATAAATAATAGAAAAATATCTATAAATAATAGAAAAAAAGGAAGAAAAGGCTTTGTCTCATCTAGTGAACTGAACAGAGTGTGTTCTCTAGCCCTGAGGGCAGTTATCACAGCAGAGCTTATATCCACATGGTTAAAATTTCTAGGAAATTGTTAGGAAAATCTAGCTTGACAGTCTCACCTCTGTCTTCTTTCATATACTTTTCTTCCAATAATTAATTAATATAGATAACTGTTTGTCATTCGTGTCTCTGTTTCCTGGGAGCTACCATAGTTATCTAAGTTTCCCTTTTCACAAGAGGATGGATTTTCTATTTCTCTTGCAATAAAGCAGTCAAAGAGCCCCTCTTCTGGTATGAAGGAACCCATGAGTGCATGAATTGTAACCAGTGTGTTTTCTTATTTTTAAGTACACTTCCTCCTCCTCCACCTGTTTTTTTTAAACAATAGATGCAATGAAGAAACTAGTGTGGAAGTAGCTCATGCTGCTATTATCTACCAATCAATCCTTTGAAATTAAAGATGTCTTTGAATACAAAGCACAAGAGTAGGGGTGTCATTTTATTCTAGTGCACATTCGTTATAGCATTTTTTCATAATGATTTTCCCTTGTTAATGAACTTCAGCTTTATGGGTGATGGACAAGGGTAAAAAATCTTGCATCAGAATTGTGTTTTGATGGATTAGTTTACTTCCAAAAAAGTAAATACTCTTTTTAGGCACTTCTGAGTTTCTTATAAATAACTTTAGCACATATAACTTAAAAAAAACAACAGCAAAACCCCTGAATATCTAAAATACTAGAAGTGTCATTGTTATGTTTTATAAGAAATGTTAAACTGGTTGCTTACTAGACCCATTATCCTCTATAATCTGGGCTCCTGATTTGATTTGTCCCTTGCCATGTTACAGTTGTTACTTATCTCTCAATAATACATTACAGAATCTCAATAAGAGGGAAAAAAATCTTGCACCTGGGAGATGTTCTCCATTTGGAGAATTGGTCTTGGAGACTATTAAAATTTGATTCAATATTTTTAATAATCCAGAGATTTTATGGCAGCCTTTCTTCATGATCTTTTCAGCTTTCAGCCAAGAATTTCAGAGTTTTGGTTAAGGATAAAATATTTTAATTTTGAATTTTTTGCAGATTTGCTGAGTTCTGAGGGAGATGAATGGAAGAGTCTTTTCTAGCTGGCATATAATTTCTAGATGGAGCCCATGGCGGGAAAAAAGGAGAACTACAGTGTTACAGTACAATTAGTAACAGGAAGAATACAAAACATAGTTCAAAGTTCCCAGTGGAAAAGCAGGAAATCAAAGTATAAAATTTGTTTCTATTTCTATTTTTGGTCTAATAAAGCTGCTTATGTCATATTTCACACCTGAGCTTGACTTTGGCCTCTACATACATAGGTAAAAATGTATATCTATAATATATATGTGCATATGAATAAAATGGACATTGGTGAGTATTTAGCTGTTTTGAACTGCAGAAATACTTCTATGATAATAGCTTAAAGTAATTGATTCTTCACTTTTTTGGTTATTGTATTTTATTACCCTCATGGGTTCAGGGTGGAGAAAAGATAAAGAGATTCTATATTTGTCTGTAATGAATCACCTTCTACCATACCGTGGCCTATTTTTTCTATGATTTTTTTTTTTTAAATATACAATATTATAGGCTCTCTGGAAATCCAAATTCCTCTGCCTGCTCTTTGCAGTGCCAGTATCTGAACTCAGCACCTTCTCTGTACTGAAACATTCACACATAGTTCTCTGTGAATTTGCACTACATATATATGACTCCAGATGTTTTTTTACCATATAATTTGGCCTGTGAAAAATTGATGGTTGAAATTCAGTAAATACAATATCCAAGGGCCCACTTCTCCACTTTCTCAAGAATGGATATGGTTTTGTGGGTTTTTTTTTTAAAATCTTTTTTGAAATTATTTTGAAGCCATTTTTGTTGAAACTTGAATTGGAGTTTAGAGTTGAAACTACATGCATTTTTTCAAAGCTTTGAAGAAAGGACTTTTGTTTATATGACTGAAAAAATTACTGAGGAAAGATAATATATCCTGACAAGCTTGGTTAAGCTATCTCTTAGTTATCTCTAAATATAAGACACATTCTGCTGTTCATAACCTTTGAATTCTTCCTTGAAAAATCAGATTCCAGACAAGAATAAATTTCTTACAAGAATAGAAAGCCTGGTCTAAACTAAAAATGAAACCATATAAAATATCTTTGTTTAGGACTTAAGTTACTAAGAGGTTCACCTGAAGGCTTACTGTTTGTCGGTTTGCAAATCTTTGTTTTGGCTTCATTTCAGAAGGAAATGTTAGTATAATTTTATTTGCAGTATCTTTTTACCCCGAATAATGCAATCTCTTGGACCGTTGTGTTACTATATCTAGAAGCAGAAGAGAGTTTTGAGATTAAAAAAAATTATTATTATTCACAGAAAAGGCTCAGAAAATGGATCAAATATTCACACATTCATGTGGAATTTATATTTCTCTACATATGAGAGAAAAAGCTTCAGAAGCAAGCTTCAGAAGACAGGACTCTTTAAAACCAAAACTTTTTAAGTTTTAAAACACTTTATGCTTAGCAAATAGCCATAACTTTTAAAAGGTTGAATAGATTTAAATACAAATGCAGTGAAAGATTTAATTTCCATTCAAGAAAAATATTTTGATCTACCCATCCTTAAACTTAAAAAAAAAAATTCTTCAGTTTTGGGAAACTTTTCATTCTTAGGATCACAAAAGCATTTGTGTGTTTTTTCAGACTGCTAGTGAATCAAAAATAAGTTCTTTACCCAGCCATAAAAATTAATTGTATATCTCAAATGGTGAAAATAGAACTCATTTATAGAGATAAACGTGGAGTTAGGTGTTATATTTCTCATCCAAAACTTTTCAGAGAATTTTTTGGGATATTATTTTAAAGATCCCATTCATAGAATCAAAACATAAAAAAGGTCACTTTAACAAAAAATATTTGCCAACAAATATAACTCAACTTTGCTCTGAACAGTAGAGGTAGAAGGATGATTCTAACCCTTGCTTCTGCTCCTTGATCTGCCTGTGCAAACGAAGACCCAAGCCAAAGCGTCCTTCTGCGGTCCAGGGGGCAGCCCTCCGACATGGCTTGCCCTTTCTGCCCTGTGTGGTGGCACTCAAGTGTGGTTTCTTTACAGCAGTTTTTAATTAAGTTTCCTTTAGTTTTAGTGACTGTATGTGACTTCTTTCTCTCTCCAATACGGATCTCTCTGCAGGAAGGGCTATAGCATATTTTTGAAAAACATTGTCTTTCTTTAATAAGTCCTTTGTGATCTTTTTTCAGGCATACAGCTAAGGGGACATTAAATCACACTCCATTGAAGCTCAGTTTTTTGCAGGTATGAAGCCATTTGGGCAATGTCCCCATCTCTACATGATTGATCACAAATGTCTCTGATCTGGAACTGAAAAGACTATTTCCAACGACTCGAGTTAAAGACTTTCCACACCTGGCCATGGACTTATTAATGGCTTGTTATTGCTCTGCTATCTTTGTGGGTCTAATGTTACTCTTTGATGTTTGCTTTAATCTTCTGGTATAAACAATCACACTGAAACCGCATAAACTGAACCTCAGAACAGCTAGTATGACATTTGCTCTTCCTAGATAAGGACAACACTAGTGTAGTTGGTTTTATTTATATAATTTAAAACTTCTAATAAAAAAAAAAACCTACCACATTTCATTTGTTTCAGATGAAACCATCCCACAAAATAAGGGTTTTTAATCTAAATTTTAAATTTTAATACCTTACTCCTGCATGTAGAATAGTGAGTTGTAGTGGTGTTGTATATTTCTTAATCAGATTGAACTGAAAGATTTAAAAAAATTGTTTTTTTTTAAAGAACTGGGAAGAACTCCATCTCACTTTGTTTTAGCTGACTTCTCATTTTTACTCTGGCCTAGTTGTCTCAGTAATAGAACTAACAAAGTTCAAGTATGTTTCTTAGAGCTCAGATTTAGAGTCCTAAAAAATCCTATCACTGGTCTTGGGATAGAAGATCAGATTGTTGATTTGCCAGACAAATTTAAACTTGGACCTTCTATTCTCATCCATCCTTAATCCAAATGCCTCTCTTTCCTCTCCTGTCAATAGAGAGCTTCCAACAGGTGATTCTACTTTTTTATTCTAATGTCTTTCTATTTTACTTCATTTTGTTATGTCTCATTAGATTTTCTAAAATATAGATCTAGAAATAAAAGTGGAAGTGGAGACTTCTGAGAACACTTGCAGGAAAGGAATGCAAATTTTGCTAAAATGTGTTTTATGGAAAGGGGGTATCCCTGGGTCAGAAGTGAAAATGTATGAATACAGAAAACATCAAAGTCAATAGAAAAGTGAAGGAGAAGATGAGAAGCAAGAAAAACGCAATAATCTTAAACACTCCTGGAAACTGCAAAGGAGGTAGACTCCCTGCTGTGATATATCTTAGCTCAAGTCCACAG